GTCCTTAAAGAGCTTAAGTTTAGCTGGAGATTTAAGCCTAACCACTGAACCAATCAAAAGACAACCCAATAGTGAAATGGTGCTGCCCCTATAGTTCACATGAGAAAAGACTGGAGTATGTTAGAGCAGAAAGAAAAAAATTTCTGGATGAGTCAGTGGGAGGATTATAAAGGATATATGAGGTAAAATATACCAAATATCAGAGACTAACAACAAAAGTCATTTAGGGGGCTGCCAAACGTTACATATGGATCTGACAGACTGAAGTACATGGTTTAGTATTTACAATGACAGAGAATTCAGCGAGCTCGTTTTTGATGTTTGAAGGTTGAAGAGTCGGGAAAAGTGCACCAGCAATTTCAAAAGCTTCTGACTGAGTTAAATAAGCCCACTGATGCCTACAAGCTGAGCCTTGCCAACAGGCTCTATGGAAATAAGAAGTTTCCGTTTTTTCAGGTGAGTTTCATGTATCTGCCACACCTGTCGCCTGCCTCCTGGGTCCTCTATCCCCAATGACCAAATTGGGGAAATTGAGTCACATGAGCTTGGCTGACCCACCTGGGGATCATTTATTCATGGTATGTCAGTCAGGATCCCTCACCACAGTTCTGTCCACTGGAGTGTCCCCGAGCCTGACAACCCACCAGTAAGGTGTGGGTTTAGGGATGAGCTGATGTACTATAGTTGGTCATGATAAAAAAATAATTTAACTTGGGAATACATAGTTACTGATAAATTACTCTTAATTCCTCCTTTCTTCCTTCCCACATCAAAGGAATACTTGGATAATGTTAAGAAATTCTACCTAGCCAGTGTGGAATCTGCTGATTTTGTAAATGCTGCAGAAGAAACCCGAAAGATGATTAATTCCTGGGTGGAAAGCCAAACGAATGGTACAGTATGAGAGGGTCACCCATGAAAAGTCACCGTGAGTCCCCGCTGTGCATGAACCTGTGCTGACACTGCGTGGAGTACCAGGATAGGGAGTCCACAGAGAGTCTGGGGGAGGGCACTGCGGATGGTGGCATGGTCCAAGTAAATGTGGACAGAAACAAGGGGAGCCCATGAGGGATCGGGGGAACAGCTACATG